CCTCCTCCTCCTCTTCCTCCTCTTTCTCTGTCCCCGATATGGAACCCCCTTCTCCTCTGGATCTGGATCTGGATCCCAATCCCCCAGCCCACTCTTAGAATCTAGTTAAATCCCCAAAACCTTGAGGGGCTGGGCTTACATATAGGTGTGGTCACAATCAATAGGGTTAAAGTTCCCCTCAGGGGATGCTGCTTCTAGGACAGATTGTCTTTCAGCAGGATGACCCACCCAAGGGCGGAATCCTATGGGTCTGTTTCTCCTCTCCTTGTCCAACAAACATATAAGGATTCATAATATTAATCATTTTGTATGGACACAGTAAGAGATGCATTAAGCTTATAGAATTGCTCTCCTGGGGTCATCCTGATCTCAGACTACAGTGCTCAGGCCAGATTAGTCTTTCCTATTCCTAGCAGGGTTCTAATCTTATTGTTACTTTTGGATAATGACAAGCATTTGTCCAGGATCAAGCTCTTAACTTACAGTTAAGAATTGTGGCACTTTGGCCAGGCCCATCTCGATGCCAGGGTGGCATATAGCTTACCGCTTGCCCTGGTTCCATCCAGTCCCTTGTTGTGATCCTGCTTTTGGGGGCGCTAGGAAGTGAGGGCAACTGAGGCTTAAGTTGAGAAAGCAGATCCCCGAGAATGAATAATATTCGAAGCCAGTTAAATCCCAAGTTACAAAAGCATAATATTGTCTTCTTGTGTCTATATAAAAGGACATTGCTTTAAAGTAAACTATTAAAAAGACATAAGGAGAGGAGAAAGCCAATATTAACTTACAATACAAGTTCATTGTTCTATAAAGATCTGACCTTACAAATTAATAGAATCTGATTAGGGGGAAAAGCTGATTAACTGGTTGGGGAAGAGAGCACAGAGAAGTTGTTACAGATAAACAAAAGAATGGGAGTGACTCAGGAGCACTTTGATGGGTGTGATCCAATAAACCTAAGCTCCTTGTGGCAAAGGAAAAAGGACAAAGCAATGTTATCCTACAGATTTACTCGAGTGGGCACCAGTAACGCTCCATTCATCCCAGCCCTGAGATTTTAACAGCCTCTCCTTACTCGTCTTTCCCAATGCTGCCATATTGGTGGCTCTTTCAGGGTCAGGGGAGTGAGACCCATTACTGTTACTGTTTTTGGCATATTGAATATGTCACGGGTTGCTTGTCAAGCTCTGCTGTGAGGGTAAGTTCATTAAACAACTTCAGTATGGTTTCAGTAAAGTCATTCTCTAAATGTTTACAGAGCTGGTTGGTACTGATAGAGCCTTCTGTGTTATTACTTTTCACTCATGGGGCCTTCTATATGTCTTCCCCATTCTTGTCTGTTTTTATTTTCTGCTGTGCAGAGTCTAAGTCTTTGTGGTTAGCCCATGGTGGGAATCTCTGAGGGATTAAACTTGGGTGTTGTTCTTTTCCTTCCCAATTCAGTGATAGGAAGTACAAGTGTAAGCTGTGATAAGTGAGCAATCACACAGTCATGTATGTGACTCTATTTATTGTGATTTGGAGGTGGACCTGGTGAGACTGAGGACAGAGGTATAAAGACTGTGGGGACCCAGCAGGAGGCATTTAGAAATGTTTTCCATTTCTAAAAGGTCACTGGGACGTCAGCTGGGTGGTCACATCCCCTGAAAGGTTAGAGGAGCAAACAAAGGGACTGAGATAATGGAAGTGGGTCTTTAAATATAAAACTTTAATATTTTCTCTTACTTTCTGATTGCAAATTCCACTTAGAGGCATGTCTCTTAAAATGTCTGCCGAGTCTGTCATTCTTGGTGCAATAAAGCTAAAACCTTAGAGAATATAATATTATGCAAACGGAAAATATGTCAGGCTACCATGTCAAGAATCTGAGAGTATGTGGCACAAAATCATCTTAGACACTCTGTAATCTGAACAGTTTAGTACAAAAACCATTCCTTTATGTTCAACCTAAGTCATATGTTGTTGAATGAAACCTTTCAGAGTGAAAAAGAAGCTGGAAGTGTGTCTCTTAGTTTTTCATTTCCTTAAACCAGAAACCTCCTAGAATTTTTATAAATATTTGTTTAACCCCATTTAAGTTAGACATACTGTTGAAAATACACAGAAGCTATTTCACTTTTTAGCAGGTACTAAAAGTTAAAGCCACATTTCCACATAGTAGTTCAGAGAGAAAAAACCATTGCAATAACTATGACTACACAAATATGATCATTCACAAGTCAGTAATGTTTTGTTAGAGATGATAATAAGCATATAACTCCCAAATTTCCAGGTTTATGGATGAAAAGCTGTTCTCTATGTCATTGTTTTTGGAACCAGCAGTTAATCTGTACATCTGACTGTCTGTGCCACTTGCAATTATTTTGCTTTGTTGGTAATATTTCCTAAACATTGGTAAAAATCGATAGAGGGGTAGAGAGCGAAATTTTCTTCTACTTATCTGGGTTGTCCAGGGCAAGTTGAATAGTTAACACCAGGCAGATTAGTATAAAAGAAGAAATCTAATTTTCTGCATGTAGAAAATTGACATGGATGTGGGTAGTAAATTTATACCCTCATGAGGGATAAAATGAGGATACCCCGAGTCAAAAAATGGAGTAAAGGCCTGGGGCTTCAAGGAGAGAAGCAGAGGACTCATGAAAGAGAAAGAAGCTCATAATTATATTTTCTCTGTAATTTCTCTAAAAGAAAGGTTAATGTTGGCAATGCCTCTAATTTTGAATATGTTGCCCAATGTTCATTCTTTGAGGCAGTTCAAAGAAGGCAGTCCTCATAAATTCATAGGATCGTCATTGACTTTGGCTTTTAATTTGCATGCCATTGTGATGCATCTTGGGAAGACTTGTTCCAAACCTTGGACTATCTGAACATCTTGGTGAGCTTTTTCTCCTCCACTCCCTTCCCCTCCCTTCCCTCCCCTCCCCTCCCCTCCGTTCCCTCCCCCTCCCCTCCCCTCCCCTCCCCTCCCCTCCCTTTCCATTCTTCTGGTGTATCTTTTAATAACCAGCCATGCCCTTCACCCCACCTTGGAAAGAAATAGAAAAGAGAACATGCAGAAATATTTCTGGAATGTCAGCTCACAGCCAAGTCATAGCAGTCATTGAAATACCTGAGATAGTGGAAATGGGGAAAATTTGATTTTCTCCCAAGTAACAAGTCTCTTCCCATCATTATACTTAGAAAAATCAGTGTTGGAATTGATTTTTCAGATCAAGGCTTGAAGGACTTGTGTCTGAGTCAAACAAATAATGGACATTGTTATCCTTTGGAAGAAGGGCTCACCTGGGCTTATTTTAGAATGTTGCTTTTTACAGATAGATGCTGCCTCAGCTTGACAAGTGTCCTTTAAATAAATCTGACTCGGCTTTGAAATCTGGATCCTTAGTAAGGCCCTAAAAAAAGTTTTATTCTTGTCCTAGAGCTTTTTCTATTCTGTGTTACAACTAGAGATTGCTAAATATAAGGACTTCATTAGCTACAAAATGTTACTAAGTTCATAAAAATATCAACCCCTTCCCCCCTGCCGCCAAATAAGTCAAAACAGGTGTAAAAAAAGGTTTTAAAAAAATTTTGTTCTTCTTTAGCATGCATAAGAAAAGAGATAGCTCCAATAAAAATTGAGATTTCAAAAAAAAAAACAGGTGTTGGATATTTGAAGACTACATTTCTAAAGCAGGTAAAAATGGTATGGAAGGTATGTTGAATTATGCATGTTACTTTTACAGATGACTGATGAGCAAAAGTTTTAGAAGTTCCTCTTATTTTTTTTCCCTTAGCTCTGGGGCCTCTGATAAAATTTAATTTAAAAAAATTAAGACTAGTCAGATAAATAGGATACATTATAAATAGATTAAAGATACCATTTTTGACTCTTGAAGAATAATATATATATTTATATTGTTTACAACCATAATCACAATTCATTCCTAGAACTTGTTCTTCCCAAACTGAAATTCCATTCCTGTTCATTTCTTCCTATTCCTTCCTTCCTTAAGCTCCTGGAAATCATTCTGATTTCTGTGTTTATGAATTTGTCTACTCCTATCCAAATAGACTTCTGGGCACATGTAGGTTACATTTTTATGAGGAGAGTACATTACCTGTGATATTTTTTTGCTGAGGATCAAATTTGTAAATAAATATTTATTATTTTGATTCCACAAGTTCTGTGTAGGAGAATCATGTAGCACTGTAGCACTGTCCTCCCATTATTCATCGATTTGCTCGAGTGGGCCCTGTAACATTGTGAGACTTGTTACTGTGTTTGGCATATTGAATACGTCACAGGTAGATTACCAGGCTTTGCTGTGCGGGTGAGATACTCTTGGTAGCTTGCCAGCCTCTCCGAGAGGGGCAGAGGAATTGAACTCGGGTCTGCCGGGTCAGCCAAATGCAAGGCAAATGCCCTACCTACTGTGCTCTCGCTCCAGTCCAGGAGAATCATATTTAAAATAATATTATCTGCCTTGAAAGTGGATGCTAAAGATGATATTAAATCTAGTTGTCTTAAGGTTGGTCTTAATTCCAAACACCCCAAAATGTGGATCCCAATTTGGATTATAGATGGACCTGGGGCAAGCTTTGTGTCAGTCTGGGGGTACACTGGTACAAGGGCAGTGGCTTCATTTTTATTTTTTTTTTATTTTTATTTTTTTTTATTTGCTTTTTGGCTCACACCTGGCAAGGCACAGGGGTTACTCCTGGCTCTGCACTCAGGAATTACCCCTGTCAGTGCTAGTGGACCATATGGGATGCTGGGAATGGAATCCGGGTTGGCCGTGTGCAAGGCAAATGCCCTACCTACAGTGCTATCCACTCCAGCCCCTATAGAATAATTTTTTTTAAAGTTGTTTTAATCTATCATTTCTTTTCAGGTTGACAATTTCCTTATATAGTCAGGTCTTTGCCCCATTTATCAGCATGAAGAAATTACAGAAGACAGACCACCAATGTGACCCCTTAAAATGTAAGGGATGAGTTTCTAAACACATTCTTCCACCCACTTCCCCCTTTCTTTCCTTTCCTCCGCCATCGTCGAGGTGTGAACGTGGCTCTTCGCCATGTCTTCCCATAAGACTTTCAGGATCAAGTGGTTCCTGGCCAAGAAACAAAAGCAGAATCGGCCTATTCCTCAATGGATTTGGATGAAAACTGGTAACAAGATCAGGTACAACTCCAAGAGGAGGCACTGGAGAAGGACCAAGCTGGGCCTGTAAGGAGAGTCACAAGAGAGGCATGCGCATTTGCTGTGATAGGCTGCTAGTATCTTGAACACAGCAGGCGGAAAGGCACAACAAGTCTCAAGTCAATGTTTCTTGGATTAGGGAATCTCTAGCTTCTGTACCTTGTTGCTAACTTGGTAATAAATCTTGTGATACCGCGTTTTGCCCCCCCCACCCCCCCAAAAATGTAAGGGATGAAATCTTGGGGGTGGGAGTGAAATGGAGACAGATTGGTGGAACCCTGGGAATATACTTTTGGGGAATAGAAAAATTAAGAGATTTTTCTAGCTGTGCAGTAGCCAAGGGCATGAAGACCACATCCCTTTCAAATACAAATTCTGAGGTCTTTGAAGAGATACTGAGGTACCACCCAGAGAAAGGTGGGTGACCTCAGGAAAGAAGAAGTTAAAGAAGAATCTGTAAGATTATGAAAAGAACATCAAAATTAAAGGCTTTCCTGTGACAACACCCAGATTAATGTTTACATATGCAAATCTACAAAAAAAGTTTAGTCAATTTGCAAAGCATTGTATAGCCACCACAGCTACTCAAGGTCAAGAAATCAGTGGAACTGGGTAAGGACAGAATCCCAAATCCCAAACCAACAGACCCAGTCAGCTGCCGTAGCTGCTGTCCTACAGTGATCAGTGTTTCTGAGGGTGAGCTCTGAACTCTCCTCTGGGGTCTCTGCAAACCAAAGGTGCACAGGGGTTACTCCTGGCTTTGTACTCAGGGTTACTCCTGGCGGTGCTCAGGGGACCATATTGGATGCTGGGAACCATAAGGGATGTTGGGAATCGAACCCGGGTCAGCCGCATGCAAGGCAAACACCCTACCCACTGTACTATTGCTCCAGCCCCTACTCTTGGCGTTTCTCCCAATCAGTTACATGTAGGTGAAGAAGTTGGAAACAGTTGCACTGAATTTATTCAACATCAAAATGTTTAAACCCTTTGAGAAAAATTTGTTGTAATGTCATTTCTCAGGATTTCTTGAGGGTGTTTTCAGGGAGTGACTCCAAGGACAAAGCAGTCTGCCAGAGACTTGTCCAGAGTTTGGATAAAACCAAGCTAAGATAGACTGAATGAATGCTGTGTTTCTAGTCAGAGGGTTTTTATGTCAAGTTGCCGGCTATTCTTGGGAGGCCATTCTCCACATAACACTAACCTATAGTCTGTCCCATTTTCTGTGGGTGGAGCTTTTGTCTGCTAGAGGTAAGATAACTATCTTAGGACTTCTTTTCTTGAACTATTTGCTGGTTTGTTTTTTTAAAAATTTGTTTGTTTGCATTTGTGTTTTGGGGCCACACCCACTAGTGTTCAGGGCTAACTTCTGGCTATGCATTTGGAGATCAATCCTGGCAGGTATGGGGGGACCACTTTGGGTACAAGGGATTGAACCTGTATTGTGTAAATGTAAGGCAAGCACCCTAAACACTGTGCTATATCTCTGGCCCAGCTGCTGTTCTTATGGACCACCCCAATGTACTGGGACAGCAGGCAGCCTGAAATATCTTTGATTCTTAGTCAGATGAATTCACATGGACAGTTCAATGCTATGGTCCAGTAAGGTTATGCTGTTTAAGTGGGGACAGGGGGCGAGTGATGTATATGTCATGTGATCCTGTGGGTTGTACTCAGGGCTATAGATCTGCAAGCCATGTGCTCCAGTTCTTCATACTTTCCCCCAGTTCCTTGAACTAGCTGTGTCTTGTCTCCTCTGAGTAATTTGTGTATTCAAATGTCATAGTTAGCAAAGGGACCAAAGAACCTATCAGTGAAAGACCAAGTTTGAACACCCCACCAAAGGATTTATTTGTTTTTTTTACAAAATCATGGCTCACTATGGTAGTATGCAATAATGTTTTTATACATGTATACTTGAAAATGAAAATCTTAAAAAAGTTGCTGCTGTAACATTAAACCATAGTCTAATCATTATGTCCACCAGTGCTTCTGCATTCTTCAGCATTTTCTAAAATCTCTGGTTCCATGTTTCATGGCTTAACAAGAGAGAAGTGCTTGCAGATTTTATTTTTCTCTACAATTCAGTCTTCAGCAGCTTTAGAGCTTTCTTCATGTTGTCAATCACTAAAGAAGGAAAAAAAGAGGGTTACGGTGCCACCAGATAATGTATAAAGAGATTTAGTAATCCCTAAACTCAAGAACATTATTCATGGTTAAACAGTCTCAAGTTTTATCATGGAATGATAATTAGCATGAAGGAACCGGCAGAGGAACCCAGGTGTGCAGGCCCCCACGGCTGAGATCTCCAAGCCTACTCAGATGAGGACTGGGCCTCCTGCACCCAGATCCCGCATCTTCCAGTAGTTAGGCATTACACCCACCAACTTCCCCCAGCGCCATATTATCGCATCAATGGCCAAGACCCAGGGACTATAAAACCCAGCTCCTGGAAGTGACCTCTTATTGTCTAGTCCTCACTCTTAGAGAACCCAACAGGTTACCTAGTGTATCCTGCCTGCATGGCAGAGTCTGGCAAACTCCCCCTGGCATATTCGATATGCCAAAACCCGGTAACAATGATGGGTCTCATTCCCCTGACCCTGAAGGAGCCTCCAATGTGGCACTTGCTAAAATCTAGGGCTAGGACGAATGGAGACGTTACTGGGGACTGCTCAAGGAAATCAATGAACAGCAGGATGATAGTGATACAATAATAATTATCATAAGATGATACTCAGTTATTTTAAAATCTTTTTCTTAAATTGCTTTTATTATAATGCAGTTTTTTCCAATATTTATTAAAAGCCATTTATGTAAGGCACTGTGGTGTTATCTTTAGGGGACACCTCCCTTTTGAGGTCCACAATCCACAAGATATGGACTTGTTTGTTTAAGAATACCACTCCTTAGAGTGTTTGCCCGGCCTGCCTAGCACCCGCTGCAGGCATTACTAATAGGCCACGACCATCTTTCTCAACATACACTTTTACATTTGTGCCCAAATGAAATTTCTATGATGATGAAAAAAGAATTTGTGATTGGGCATTGATTATTTGGAATGCAATTATTGTGACTGAGGAACTATGGCTAATGGCTATAACTGGCAGTGAAGAAGCCAGCTGCTGAACAGGATTTGTTTTCGGGACAGAACCTATTTTGTTTCTTCCAAGAAGGATCAATTGGAATTGATCCTTCCAATTGATCACAGCTAGATAAGTCTCCCTTGAAGTATTTCATGTCTTGAGTAATCTTTTCTTGGTTATGTTTAATTTTATTGCAACCTTCAGAGATAGAAAATTACTTAGAATCATCTTTTCTACTAATCTTTAAATGTGGAACTTGAATTCTGTTTCAATAACTTGGGTTACTTTGTGTTAGTTGTGTAAAAAAATTTAACAAAGTTAGCAGCTGGTGCTACTAATGGGACCCCTTCATCATTGTAAGAGGCCAATTTTCATCACACTAGATTCTGTGATGGAGTCATTAGTGTGTCTAAGATAATACTTGAAAACTAGGTCTATGATCAGATTCCTAGAGAAATAGATATCTAAAATAAAGTAAAAATCATTACTTAAATCTTTGTTGTTTTATGGGATGCCAGGGATTGAGCCCAGGGCCTCACTTATACAAGTCATGGGATTGAGCCCAGGGCCTCACTATACAAGTCATGTTCACTGAGTCACATCCCTGGGCCCCAGTTGAAATCTTTAGAAATTAGATCAAAGTGATTGTGAGATGATTTGAGACATGAGGCATGTTATGATTCATGGTCTCTGTTCTGAGCAAGGCATTCTCCCCACTCATCCCAAGGCCTTTGCTCTGAGCCGAATGCACTAAAGATGCTCCCCAGCGTCTCACACTTACAGAGAGCTGCATCAGAAGGTTCATAGGCATAAAGACGATTTGAGTATCTTCCAGTGATGTCAGCTCTGACTGTCAGGGATGGGTCTACAAAGAAAAAACAAAAGGAAATGGAGACTGTTCCCATCTATTGTGCGATGAAGCCCGTGTATTTACCACATCCTAGGAAAGGAATGCTATATGTTCTACTAGATCTGGTTCCACTTTCTTCTCTACATTTACTCTGAAACCAACCTTTGGTGATCAGTATCCAAGCAGGGCTGGGAGCTCTCAACAGTTACCCAGTGCTATTTGTGGAAAGCGTTATGAACCCTGCTGTCCTATCTATAGCAGTTTAGGAGGATGCTCTGTGTGTGTGTGTGTGTGTGTGTGTGTGTGTGTGAGAGAGAGAGAGAGAGAGAGAGAGAGAGTGAGAGACAGAGGCAGAGATAGTATGAGGTAGTATTTTGTTTCTTTTGAAAACATGGGTGCTCTAAAACATGGTTTTGTTGTTGTTGAAATGATTTTCTTAAAGCAACCTAGATAATTAAAAGTTCACATTCAATGTTACTTCTCAAAATCAGGTGATTTTTTTTGGGGGGGGTCATTTTTTTTGGCCACACCCAAACAACATAAATTACAGGATCTTTCCTTTGCCAACAGTCTTGAATGCTTGCCAGGATGAAGGGATGGGTATTAGAACATTTTATGACTGAATCACCAACAACTTTGTAAGTTTGTATCTCACGTTGATTCAATTAAAGAAAAGCAAGCAAGCTTGCCAGGCACAGAGAGTGTGAACACGGAATCTCCTCTTTGTTACACATTAATGTAAGAAAGGGTTGAAGAGAAAGTACAGGAGTTATGGTGCAGGCCTTGCATGCAGCCCAATCCAATTCTTTTCCCAGCGCCACATGGTCTCACAGGGCTGATGCTCCTGAGCACCTCTGGGGTGACTCAGATGATCCCCAACACAACCCTGGGCACTTGCATCAAACTATTGGCACAGCTGGCTAAGAATTTCAGGAGGTGTTCCTGAGCACAGCTTGGGAGCTTTCAGAGCCCTGGTTTGTGCTCTGGAATCACCTGGAGAGCTTTTTTTTTTTTTTTTTTTTTTTAAGTACTGACACCTGTGTTCCACCTGCAATGGTTCAAATTTAATTGGTTTGAGCTGTGGCTCAAGCCATCTCATTTAAATACAATTCCACAGGCAGATTCACTGCTAGAATTAGGTGAGCAGCCAGAGGGGAGAAGCACACGTTGGAAGAACAAGCTGCCCTGAGCAGCTTTTTAGGACTAAAGGTATGAAAAATGGGTTACTATGTCTAGTGATGGGGATACTGTGAGGAAATTGTGCCAGATTAGTACAATTTAGAGAATTAATGGAGCACTTTTTTCTCTAGAACCTTTGAAAGAAGATGAAAGAGTAAAGTTACCATATGAAAGAAAAGTTTCATCCATGGATATGGGAAGCAGAGCACTTTTTGTAATGCAGATATGAGACTTAAAGGTCTGTTGTACCATGGAATTCACTTCTTGGTGAAATTAGCCAGGGTGGAGCAGCAGAGGGAACTGAGGAAGTGGACAGCACTTGTATGATGTTGAATCTGTTTTTTTCCCTTGTTCCCTTTACTTACCAACAAACATAATTCTGGGGACATACTGGCCATCAGGAGAAAGGTGTTTGTCTGTGGTTTCATACTAAGGTTAAAAAAAAATCAGCATTTAGTTGTTGTGTTCTTTGGCTATTTTCACTCTTGTTAATACAACAAAAATGTGTTCATTACTGGATTAGACTCCAAAAGACACTGTTCAGTCACATCTCTTCCACAAAGAGTTTATGATCCAGTGTTAATGACCAGTAACGTGTGAAAAGTAAGAGAGCAGAAAGGGATGTAGAACATGAGGTAAAGAGCTGAATGTGGTTGAGTGATGAAATAGTAAGAATAATAAAAAGGGAAGATATGGAAGGAGATAGAGTACATGGAATTTCCCCTTGGATGTTTGAGGAAGAAATAAATTTTACAACCAGCAAGACATCCTAAAGAAGATTTATCTTGATTCAGGACTCTCTTGATTCATCTTTTTGTCGATTTTTAATTTAGGACATTCTTTATCAAATAACCAGGTATGCATATCTTGAGTCAATATAATCTATTGGGTGATGTAAATAGGAAACTGAGTGTTCTGAATCTGGTGATAAAGGATGAGCTTTAGCAGTTCAGAGTTGGAAAGTGATAAAAGCTTGGTACAAGGAGAAACTGGTTTGTCTTTGCTAAGAATAATCTGAGTTTCTGCATTCAAGTAATTCATGTACTCCTTGGTATAGGGAAGTAAAATCAACTTTCAGAGTTCAGCTTGGTCACATAATTTTTTTTTTATGTGCAGAGCAAGAATCTCCTAGCTGGAAAATTGTCCTGCTAACAGAGGAATATTTAGAAAAGGTATCATGATCCTTAGTCTAGAGTGATTATCTTGGTTGCCATGAGAGATTAGATGAGATTTATCTTGCCCAGCAGGGAGCCATTTAGCAATTCTGCAATAATCTAGAAAAAGTGAAAAAAAATGTGTACTCTAATGTGGTGGGCCTCTGTGTGGAAGAAAATAATAAGAAGGATATTTAAAACTTAGGACCATAAAACTTCTTGACTTCTGGAAGTCATAGAAGAGGACAGTTTTTTTGTTGTTGACTTTTTGTGTCACACCTGGCAATGTTCAGGGGGTACTCCTGGCTCTGCACTCAGGAATTACTCCTAGTAATGCACAGGGGACCATATGGAATGCCGGAGATTGAAACAGAGTTGGCCATATGCAAGGCAATGCCCTTACCTGCTGTTCTATCTCCCAGGTCCCCAATGAGGGGGTAATCTTGAATAAACAACACTTTCAATAAAATAATGGGAATAAAGAAAAAACAGCTACCTGGACCAAGATGATACAGTTGAAGTTCAACACGGTGAGTTTAGTTAGGAATAAATGGGAATAAATGGTGTTCGAGTTTCATGTGGCTACAGGTTTGCATCAGATATGGAAATTGTTAGTGTGAAATTGTAGAGCAAAGGTTACTAAAATTGTCCATGGAGGATATTAAATACATACAGACAAGTAGGTCAGGTCAAGTAGAGCCTCCTCAAGTCACTAACATTAAGAGGTTGAAGGAGGAAAGGGATGTGTGGATGAGAAAAGAAGAAAGATATAAGAGTGCTGCATAGCGTCCATCAAACTGTGAAGAGGGGGGTGCATATTCATTTGAGGGGACTTTATTTTAGTTATATATATATATATATTTGACTTTTGGGCTACACTAGGCTATATTCAGGGTTTGCTCCTGGCTCTGTACTCAGGGATCAGTCTTGGCAGGGCTCTGGGGACCCTTAGTGGTCTGGGGATAAACTCAGGTTGACTGTATGCCAGGCAAGTGCCTTACCCACTGTATTATTGCTTCGAAGGGGCTTTTATTTAGTATAGCAAGGCAGACAGCTTGAAAATGAGAAGGGTGGTGATGATGAAGTAGGTGGTAATGCACCAAGATAAAGAGCGAATTACATAATTAGATTTGAACTGCCAGGAAGAGGGGAGAAAAAAGTACAAACAGGTATAGAAGAGCCAAGTCAGTAAAAGAGGTACAGGAAGTAATTAGAAGAATGCAACTGTCTCTTAATTATGACAGTAACAGAGAAATCTCAATCATTGACTATTTTTCAGACAACCAGCATTCTAAATAAAAGCACAGTCATGAAAGACAGATCATTAATAAAATGTCATTCCTCCTCTTTTCAATCTCTGAAAGGAGGTCTTTGGAATTGATCCCAAATCAGATCTTTGGAATGAACCCCAGTTCATACAGTATTTAACTAAGGAAAAATGAATAATTCATTTCAAAATATGAGCCAAGAGAAACGTTATTGGTAATAAAAAGTAAACTTAGAGGGCTGGAGCAATAGTACAACTGGTAGGGTGTTTGCCTTGCACATGGCCAACCTAGGTTTGATCCCTGGCAACACATATGGTTTCCTGAGAGCTACCAGGTGTAATTCCTGAGTGCAGAATAATCCCTGAGTATCACTGGGGGGCAGCCAAAATGGGAAAGAAAGAAAGAAAGAAAGAAAGAAAGAAAGAAAGAAAGAAAGAAAGAAAGAAAGAGGAAGGAAGGGGAGGAAAGGGAAGGAAGGAAGAGGACAGAAGGAAGGGAAAAAGAAAACTTACAACTAAATTGAGGAGGACAAACTGATCAGCCAACTTCTGGATTTCTTTATTTTCAGCAAACACTTTCTTTAAAGCTATAAAATAAACAAGCATAATTTAGTATACAACTCATCAATGGTTAAAAAGTTATTCTCTGTTAGATTTCAACCCTTTTGGAAAACAGTATGGACGACTCTCAAAAAATTAGAATTTGATCTGCCATTTGACCCAGCTATAGCACTCCTGGGAATATATCCCAGAGAGGCAAAAAGGTATAGTCCAAGTGACATCTGCAATTGTTTGTTCATTGCAGCACTCTTTAAAATAGCCAGAATCTGGAAAAAACCTGAGTGCCCAAGAACAGATCACTGGTTAAAGAAACTTTGGTACATTTACACAATGGAGTACTATGTAGCTGTTAGAAAAGATGAAGTTATGAAATTTACATACAAGTGGTACTACATGGAAAGTATCATGTAAGCGAAATGAGTCAGAAAGAGCGGGATAGACACAGAAAGATTGCATTCATCTGGGGAACATAAAGCAACAAAAAGGGAGATTAACACCCAGGAATGGCTGAGATTAGTACCAGGAATTTTGCTCCATGAATGGAAGGCCAGCCACAGGCTCTAGGTGAAAAGGAAGCTCAGATAGAGAAGAGAGTACCAAATGAAGGATGTTGTGAGGGCCCTCCCAGGGTGGGAGAAGCATGCTAAAAGTAGTCTATAGACCAAACATGATTGCCACTCAAAGCCTGTCTTGCAAAACACAGTACCCAAAAGAAGAGAGAGAGAACAAGGGGGAATACCCTGCAACAGAGGCAGGATGGGACGGGGGGGGGGATTAGGGGTGGGGAGGGATGCTGGGACCTGTGGGGATGGATGACAGGCACTGGTGGAGGGATGGGCACTTGATCATTGTATAACTGAAACCCAAGCACAAAATTTGTAAGCCTATAACTGTACCTCATGGTTTTTCACTAATAAAAAAAGAAAAAATAGATTTTAAATTAAACTATACAATGTTCAACTTTGCCATTTCAGCAGATGGTTAGTGAAGTACTATTCACCACCTTTGCAGCTTGTTACCCACTCATTAATATTTTCCAACTCATATTTAGTGAGTCGGCATGCTTATGCTCTGTGAATAGATCCTTGGGGATAAAAAGTATGTGTACTTTCTTCATAGGATTCCAATGACTTTGTAGGGAGGAAACACTTCATAAACAAATAGCTAATGACCCAAAGTGAAATGTATACTTGAAAGAAAGATAAAGCAAAGCAAAGGCTGAAAAGAAAGTGATGAGGTAGATATCTCTACAAGGAGATGATATAAAGGTTGGAATATGAGCCATTATGAAATTTGTGGGGTTAAATTGAGGCAGAGGGGACTGAAAGAGTAATAACAAAGGTAGGAATAGGCTAAATTGTTTGAGGAAATGCCCAAAATTCAAGCTAAATGTAATAGAGAGTAAGGGGAGAGTGGAAAGAAAGAACAGAGCCAGAGACCAGATCAGGAATTTGACTTAATTCTGAAGAGAAGCCAGTTGAGAATCTAAATGACAGGATTCACTTTATATTTATTCTCTGTCCTTTGAGTCCTTTGTGTCACACTAGCCTCTGCGTGGGCGACAACTATATGTAGCGTGACCACCTGACTACTGGCAGCTGTCACACATAGTCTAGACAAGAAGATGTACTCTTAGCTTGGATCTTAGTTTGGATCACAGTAGTGGCAGAGAGGAGTACGAAATAACTGGATATGGGCAGGACCTACATACAGTATAGTCCAGTGCAAGGTAAATTCATACAGCTCCTTGCTCAAAAATGATTAATGATTAATAATTTCTGATGGAGACCACAACTTTAAACCAAGCAACAAAGCCTTCTAAATACTGACTGTGTGCCTACACGGGCTGAAACTTGTGCCAGTGTTTAGGAGTTATTTTAAAGGTAAAATCAGAATTATTTGCTGATGTAGTAGATGTGAAACAGTAAAGAAAGACAAAAAGCCAAGGAGGAACCTGAAATTTTGTCTTTTCAAAATAATGCGTGGGGTTCCCACAAACTGTAAAAATATTTGAAGAGACTCGAAATTTTTATTGTTTTATTCAATTGGACAAGGTATTCCAAATATAAAGATAAATGCTCTGAACCCTAGCTTTAAAACTACAAATATATACAGGAAATTATATTTAGAAGAAGAAATTACCTTGGCTGTGGGGGCATTCATCCAAGTGATGGATGATCATCAAGGGTTTGTTGCTTTAAGAGACAAAAGAAATTGGATGAGTTTTAACATGTAGGATTTCATATATATTTAAATATCACTAGATGGTGCTGTTGAGTGCCTTGAAAAGACTCCTAGTTTAGTCTTTACCTTGTCTTGGATTTGTATAAAGCTTCTTCATAAGTCTGAGTCCAGATGAGTTGATCACCCCAACCTAGAACAAAATGAACCAATACATTTAAACTATTATCATTTCAGGCCCAAAGCAGTAGAAAAGCAATAACAAAGATGAGGATAACTAAACACTTGCTAGTATAGAAGGAAAACCTCTGACGAGGATAAATATCATTGTAAATGGAAATCTAGAAGGAAACGATATGTGATTGTGTTCAGCAAACAAGTGTCAAGAAGCTGAACTACCTCTAGAGAGGGTCTGGGGCAGTTTGGGCCGAGAGTCCTTTGTGTCCTTTTTAGCTCCTGGTTTGACGATGGTATCTTTGGCCAGAGTGTAGGAGAGAGCCACAAGCAGCAAGAAGGCTGATACTGAAATCTTCTCCATGGCAAATCTGAGAGAGATGATAAAACAAGCAAAAAGTCAGTAAAACAAAAGGAAATTAGCAGTCTCCAATCTCATCAGGTGGCATCACAACTGACTGCAAGGCAGCCTCCTCTGAGGAGGGCCTGTGGTACAGTGATAAACTGCCTCCTAAGAATGTCCTTTAGAACATGGTATTGACTCATCTCTCTATAAATTCATGTGAATATTAATATACTGGTATAGATCACCACAGAAACTAATGGAAATACACACTTTAAGAAGTTAAATATAAGTGGATGCATACACTCTTATGGCTAAAGATGTTTACATTAAAATGCATATTTAAACCCATTGAGGTACTGAATGGCACTTGAGCGGTTGTCCTTTCAGCACCCTGCCTCATTTTAGAGAGGGAAAATCTGTAGTCCAGAGTGGTGAAGGACATATGAGATGGATGTGGACTCAAGTTTTTGGTCTTATCATTTTGCAGTGCTAACTCCCATCTTCCTATTCTGAAATGGTTATCTTAAGCATACATGGTTCTTTTGCCTTCGGTTGAAATGGGGACAGTGCTGTTAAATAGAATCTGAGTAAAATTATTCCTGATTTCACGTAGAATTTGCTAAATTTGTCAATTTTCTTAAGACTCTCACCCACACATTTGTTTTCCTAGTGTAACATTTACTTAGACTACGTGTTCTAAATTTACTGAAATATGTCAGTGCAAGTTCCAGTAAAACAATTCTTTGACTCTGAGTTGGTCTACTTAGGTAGGTAGATTGTTGGTGTGCTCTTCAGTGCAGAAATATTTCATATGGCTCATAGAAGAGAAAACTCCACTGAGTGTCTCCTGTTTTTTTTTTTTTTTTTTTTTTTTTTTACTTTTCCAGTATTCAACAGCAATTGGGAAAGTCATGCTTCCAAGGAGGAGACTGCCTTGGAAAGCAAATGGCAAAATGAGATCATGAGTGTGGAGATGAATTTGCTAATGAGTTGCACCAGCAAATCTTAGGTCTATCCAGGAACTATTACATACAAAGCTGGAGATTTGGGATTCTGGTAAATCCAAAGACTAAAATTTATCAAGATATCCATCTATTTATCTACCAACATACTCACTCATCTTCCTACTGACCATTAATGTTGTAGGTTTTTAATTACATCAGATTCTACCAATAAAGCAGGATGAGCTATCAAGGGTTAATAGGAAAAGTTTTTCATGTTCTGATAACTTAGTCAAGAATCTTTGATAAACTTTATCTATTATCAAGCTGCACTGTAGCACTGTTCTCCTGTCAGTCATTGATTTTCTCGAGTGGGCACCAGTAATGTCTCACAACAAATTGCAAGATTTATTGTTTTTGGCATATCAAATATGTCACGGGTAGCTTGCCAGGCTTTGCCGTGTGGGCAGGATACTCTTGGTAGCTTGCCAGGCTCTCCGAGGGGGGCGGAGAAATCGAACCTGGGTTGGCCTTGTGCAAGGCAAACATCCTACCAGCTGTGCTATTGCTCCCAGCCCAATTATCAAAAAATAATTAAAAATTTTTTACCCAGATGATCATGGTATCACTGTCCCATTGTTCATCAATTTGCTTGAGCGGGCACCAGTAACATCTCCATTCGTCTCAGCCCTGAGATTTTAGCAGCCTCTCCTTACTCATCCTTCCCAATGGTGGCATATTGGAGGCTCTTTCAGGGTCAGGGGAATGAGACCCACATTGTTACTGTTTTTGGCACATCGAATACTCCACGGGGAGCTTGCTAGTCTCTGCCGTGCAGGCGGGATAGTCTCGGTAGCTTGCCGGGCTCTCCGAGAGGGACAGAAAATGTATATAAGAGAATATAAGCAAGTATGTTTCTGGGTCCTTCTGCACAACAGGAAGCACCCCTTATCTCAGAGTACTCCCTGTTGGGGAGCTTTTGTTGGATCAGTTTTTCAGATGGATGAGTTAAATAGAGAGCATTTGGGGTGAGACTTCAAAGGAGTTGAATAGTTTTTGTTTCATAGTCAAATGATTTCAGCACCCTTATGATTCTTATCAGAATCATTCATACTGCAGCTTGCAAATTGGTGATTTTCTGAGTTGATGCACAATTAATTAGTGCTAATTCTGGTGGGGAAGGGAGGGAATTTGGATCACACTGAGTTATGCTCAGGACTTACTCCCTGACTCAGGGGTCACCCCTGGGTCATGCTCAGAAAACCGCCGTTGGTACTGGGGAGGGAACTAGGATTGCTCCTTGCAAGGCAGGTATCTGCCATACTATCTCCTGCTGGACACCAGCTCTTTTTAAAATGGGCCCAGGTATTTTTGGTAGTGGTGGCATGTGAGAGAGCCCTTGACTGGCGTTTGCTCCTTTTGAGTTTGAATTGTCGAGGGTGCTTCATGCAGTAGCACCCTCTGCATCCTTGCCTATAATGTGTCTCATCACTTCTGAACATGCCTTTACTTTCTGACCTCACAGAAGCATCCTTTTCTCCCAGGAGCCAGGCTCAGTGCATACTCAGAACCCAAGATGTGGACACTAAATGTGTTTGTTCTCTCTGCATTTGCAGCATGTTAATTTGGTATTTAACACAGCACACATGTGTCTGGTTTTAACCCAGGTGATACCTTGTATAAAACATTGGATTAATTATTATCCAAGTCACAGTATATAGTCATAAAACTTTTCACAAACATACACAGACAAAAACCTAGATATACTTTCATTTTATATGCCCATAAAGATATATAATGCCAATAAAATGTTTTGTATCCTGGCATTCTATAGAAGGAACTCGGAGTACTATTGTTTAACAATTCCCACTTTTTAAGTACCAAGAGAACTCTTTTATTTCTTTCCCCCTCTTTTCCATTCCTGGGGATTAAGCCAAGGATTCACATGCAAAACAAGAAACCTTTTTTTTTTTTTGGCTTTTTGGGTCACACCTGGCGATGCACAGGGGTTACTCCTGGCTCTGCACTCAGAACTTACCCCTAGCGGTGCTCAGGGGACCATATAGGATGCTGGGAATCGAAACTGGCTTGGCCGTGTGCAAGGCAAACGCCCTACCCACTGTGCTATTGCTCCAGCCCCAAAACAAGGAACTTTAAAGCATAACAAAAAACAACTTTGTATGTAAGAATCATTATATATTTTTTAACATTAGTTGATCCAAAAACATAACATGCTAGGTAATTTCATGAAATTTATCAAAGAGCATTTGATTTTGTATTTTTATTTCTAGCAATAACATCTATTTTTTTAGAAGAAAATGGAAACTCTGTGAGAAATTCACATAGCTTTTGTTGTGCAAGTTTCTGTTAGAGCATCTTGTAATAGCTTCACAATTTAAAGCTTGGAACTGTTGAACTACTACACATGCTTTATGATAGAATGTCTCCAGGGAGCCAAATATAACTCCTGTTGCTATTTCCAAGCTTCCTACTTTGTACTAACTTTTAGAGTTGCTCTACTGAGTTTTCGTAATAGGAGTGGAATTTATAATGCAGATTCCATTCAGCACAAGCCACCCTTATAACATAAGTCAATAATTTGATAATTTGGACTGCTTACTCTGAAGTCAGTAGGACTTTTCAACCTGTTCCACTTTTCACCTGTTCTCTTTAGCAAGGAAGTGACTTGTCTTCAAATTTCATAAATGAAGCTAACACTTCAGTGTTTATCAAAGGAACACACTCTTTTATGACCTTTTCTACGAACCAAAAGATTGAAGAAACAGCAAGCATATCTTAAAACATACATCCTTTGTATGTTTTAAGAAATAAAACTATTTTTTGAATAATATTATGAATTGACTATCATGTGGGAGGGAAGTCACGTACAGATAGGGACACGGGCACAGTGATTTATGCAGAAGAGCCAGCGCCCTATCCCAGGCTTGAAATCCCCTACAATTCAGCTAGTCCATACTTTCTATTTTCCACTGGAGAAAGAAAGCATTACCTTCAACCCACACAGGAGCTCAGAACTCTGGCAGCTCCAACCAAAGAAATGTGTCAGTAGACATTGTTAGACACGCTATCATTCTTTCTCAATCCCATTTTCTTGTCCTGGAACTCACTAGCACTGTCCTAATTACTGGCATCATTACACAATGATCTGAGCCCAAAGGTTGACACAAATAAGTGCTGTATTACTTCCAGCAAGTAAGTAATACCATTGTCAGGAAACTTACCTGGATTTCTCCACCCACCTGTCTGGAGAGCCAGTCAGCCTCAATGAGCTCCAAGCTTCCTAGTGCGCTAGATGAACTGTGCCTCTATTTATGCACCTGAGTTCGCTTCAATCCCACCCCCTCATCTGTATTTGCATGTTGTTCATTCAGAGAGGAACTTCTCTTTTTCCTAGCTTTCCCCTACACTGAAAATGATTCTTGTTTTTAAAATTATGCTGCAAAAGGTGTGTTTCTTAAGATGAACATTTTAACCTGTTTATGAAATGCATGGTTAAGAGATTTGGAAAAGATGGGCAGAGTGCCAATTCCAGGTAAGCTTTAAATGAAGACATTTGATTTGCTCAAAGGCTGATTTGTCTTTAGGTGATTGGATGGAGTTCGTGGTTTGTAGTTTTTTTTTTCTCTCTCTCTCTCCCCTGTGGGCAGACTGCCTTTAGCTGAAAATACACAAGTGATGATTCACAATTTTAAATGCTACCACCATATAACCTGCTATTCATTATGGGACAAATGGTTTTCGGTAATGCCCTTCTCTCTTTTTGTCAAATAAAATGTACTTTGACTATGTGCATGAGAAGTACAAATCATCCACTCACACAGTATTTAAAAACTGAGGAAGACACTGGGGGGGGGGGGAGGATAAAATAAGATATTCTAAAAAAAATAAATAAAAGATATTCTAGTAGCATGAGGTTTTGATAGCCTTGTAGTTAAATATATGCAAGAGCTTCTTTCTAGTGAATTAAAGGGTATTTAATATGTATTTGCTCATAACAAATTTTTCATCTTATACTTTATTGCTAGGCAATCAGGAAATTGATAGTCAACTTTCTTTTCAGATTTAAAAAACAAACTTTGCCACTACTTTTTCCCCCATTCGAAATTATGCTGTTATTCATTAAAGATTTCAAAACCAAATTCAGAGATTTTTTTTGTAAAAAAATTTTTTTAATCCTGAGTTTGTTTTTGAAATTATGTACAGTTGTTTGAAAGTTTAGGATAGAGAAACCTTTAATAACAGAAAATAAATGAATACTAGTTCTATAAAAGTAGTTTTTTGAAATAACTGAAGATAATGATTTAAAACATTTTCAGGTGTATTTATAAGTACGTATATTTTAATAAAATGTTTTTAAGTCATATTTTTTTTCCTTTTTTTATTTTTATTATTTTTTTTTACAGTTGTAAATTTACAATTTTTTTGTGCTTTGGTTTCAATTATACAATGATCAGATACCCATCCCTCCACCAGTGCCCATTTTCCACCACCATGGATAATATCCCTCCCACCCCCATCCCCCCATCCCCCCTGTCTCTGTGGCAGGGCAATCCCCTGTGTTCTCTCTCTCCTTTTGGGTGTTGTGGTCTGCAAAAGAGGCATTGAGTGGCAAACATGTTCAGTCCATAGACTACTTTCGATATGCATCTCCCCTCCTGGGAGGATCCTCCAAACATCCTTTATTTGGTGCTCCCTTCTCTATCTGAACTGCCCTTTCCTCTAGGATACCCGGCTGGCCTCTAAGTTATGGAGTAAACCTCCTGGTGCTGATCTCAGCTATTCTTGGGTATTAATCTCATACTTTGTTACTTTATATCCCCCAGATGAATGCAATCTTTCTATGTCTATCCCTCTCTTTCTGACTCATTTCGCTTAGCATGATACTTTCCATATTGTACCACTTGTATGTAAATTTCATGACTTCATCTTTTCTAACAGCTACATAGTACTCCATTGTGTAGATGTACCAAAGTTTCTTTAACCAGTCATCTGTTCTTGGGCATTCAGGTTTTTTCCAGTTTCTGGCTATTGTAAAGAGTGCTGCAATGAACAAACAAGTGCAGATGTCACTTCGACTATACATTTTTGCCTGTCTGGGATATATTCCCAGGAGTGGTATTGCTGGGTCAAATGGGAGCTCAATTTCTAATTTTTTGAGAATCGTCCATACTGTTTTCCAGAAGGGCTGAACCAGTGGACATTCCCACCAACAGTGAAGGAGTGTCCCTTTCTCGCCACATCCACGCCAGCATCGGTTGCTTTTGTTCTTTTGAATGTGGGCCAGTCTCTGAGGTGTGAGATGGTATCTCATTGTGGTTTTGATCTGTATATCCCTGATGATTAATGATGTAGAGCATTTTCTCATGTGCTTTTTTGTGTCATATTTTATATGACATTTGACTTATAAAATTAAATATTTCTGTGTGCAGAACATTGAGTAATTCTCAAATCAAATGGTAGACATGCCATCATTCTTTTTCAATCCTATTTCCTTGCCCTGGAACTCACTAGAACTGTCCTAATTACTAATTACCAGTAACTTTACACAATAATCTGTGGTATTTTCTTTTGATTTTCTAAAGATCTTTAGGAATTTGAAATGAGTTTCTAAAGATCTTTAGGAATTTGAAAACAATTATTTAAGCTAAACTCTTTTTTTAATGTAGATATACTGCTATTTATTCAATCATTGATTAAGCTGATTAAATTGGGTATGAACTCCATATTACTACTTAAAAAAATTTAAAACTTTTTAAAATTTCATATGCGTGAGATAGACCATTACAAAGCTGTTCATAATTGTGTTTCAGTCACAATGATCCAGCACCCATCTCTCCACCAGTGTACATTTCCCACTACCAATGTCCCCTGTTTCCCTACCACTAGCCCCCAACACCTCACTCCCCCACTTCCAGCCTTCCCCTATGGGAGGCACTTTCCTTCTTGCTCTCTCTCTCCTTTTCCTTTTGTGCATTATGGTTTGCAATTCAGGTGCTAAGAGGTCATGGTGTTTGTTCATGGCATTCAGTATTTTTTTTTCCTTTTTGGGTCAGGGGTGACTCTTGGCTCTGCACTCAGGTATTAATCCTTGTGGTGCTCAGGGGACCATATGGGATGCTGGGAATCAAACCCAGGTTGCAAGGCAAATGCCCTACCTGCTGTACTATTGCTCCAGCCCCAGCATTTTTATCGGGAGGGTAAGGCTGGAATAGTTTTTCAATTGTGTGGCCACTGTGGGGTGTGGATGTCACTGCTGAGGCTTCCGGAAATACAGGGAGGTAGCCCATCCAGACCCCAAGAAAGCCTCGAGATTTCAGACACAAAAACTGAATACCCAAATTTTCAGCAGGTTATATCTTGGGCTGGAGCAATAGCACAGCCAGTAGGGCGTTTGCCTTGCACGCAGCCAACATGGCCGACCCGAGTTCGATTCCTCCACCCCTCTCAGAGAGCCTGGCAAGCTACCGATAGTATTCGATATGCCAGACACAGTAACAACAAAGTCTCCAATGGAGACGTTACTGGGCCCGCTTGAGCAAATCGATGATCAACGGGAGGGCCTTTACCTTTACCTCGAGCAAATATCTTGGTGAGGTCCGTCCTGAGATGGTGGGGTCCAGCCAGGGGTATGGTGGCAATTTTGGATTGTGGAAGCCAGCAGCTGCTGGGGACTCTGCTTGAGCGGGCCCCAGATCAATCCACCCCTCTTGGATTTACCCAGTCTGTTCTGAGCTAACTCTTAAAATTAGAAAGACTTTTCTATAGTTTCTTGGTTAATTCAACCCTTACATTATTCAACTCTCATTTTGTAAATAAGAATGTTAGAAGTGAAAGGTAACTAATACCTTTATTAAGGTCTCACAACTAATTTATGGCACTACTACTAAAGCCCAAATGGCCTCTAGTCAATCACCTGTTTAGCATGGATAGTGGGCAGTGGGGGGGCACAGGATTCCAGCCTGCTGCCAGTGTTCCACTGTGAGCTCAGTTGACAATGTCAGATATACCATTCACTACCTCTGAAGCAACTTCCTGATTTATCAAAGGGCAAAGACAGTAGTTGTTAGAGTACCTGCCTAGCATACATCCAGCCCTTGTTTGATTTTTTTTCCCATCATGATAGGGTCCCTTAACATCAGTGAATGCTCCTCTAGAGGCCCCTACCTTCTGTTATCTCTCTGGCCTGAGTATATGAATTTTGAAGTGATGATCTGCGGCCCAAACTATTTGGTAATTAAGAACATCATCTCTGGTTTGGTGGGCTAGAGCGATAGCACAGCAGTAGGGCGTTTGCCTTACAAGCAGTCAACATGGCCGACCCGAGTTCGATTCCTCTGCCCCTCTCAGAGAGCCTGGCAAGCTACCGAGAGTATCTCACCCGCATGGCAGAGCCTGGCAAGCTACCCGTGACGTATTCGACATGCCAAACACAGTAACAACAAGTCTCATGATGGAGACATTACTGGGCCTGCTCGAGCAAATCGATGAACAACAGGAGAACCGTGACCGTGATTTCTGGTTTGGTACTGAGCACTGTGTGGGTGGGCAGAATATCCCTGGCACTGCAGGACAGGAATAATATTGTATGCTAAGGACCTAGAGCTGAACAGAGGCCTTGTTGTCTGGAATAGCCAGAAGCCCTTCACATGCTTAGGATTCTCCTCCCCGCACCCTAGGGGATAATATGATCATATATTAATGTCTTGAACATTTAATGAGATAAGAAATAACAAAGTTCCTGGTGCTTTAGTTTGCTACACTTGCCATAACACTGGAGGTTAGGGTCAATCCTTATGACTTTCATTGCCTCCTTCTATACCCCATCTCTAGATTTTCTGTGGTCCTGGGTGATGGAATTTTCACCTATGAATTTTGTTTAATTTCTTTTTTCTTTTCTTTTTTTTTGGGGGGGGCATACCTGTCGATGCTCAGGGAATTACTCCTGGCAGCGCTTGGGGAGGGAATGCTGGGGGCTGAACCTGGATCAGCTATGTGCAAGACAAGTGCCCTACCCTCTATTACCTCTCTGGCCTGAGTATATGAATTTTGAAGGGACAAGATAGAGCCCACACTATTTGGTAATTAAGAACATCAGTTCTGGTTTGATATACATAGTTCTAATGCAATTTTAAATCCCTGTGGTACTCCATGCCTAATCCAATGTCAGTCAATCCACATTTGTCATAGTGGGTCAAGATGGCAGGGACTAAGTAAATAGTGGAAAAAATCATATGCACACTCT